CATTATACTTTTAATGAGATGTAGTTGTCCTATCAAATCCGTTCTGCTAACGACTTCCACTAATCAAGGAAGCGGTGAGTGAGAGTGGATACCCATTCAACTACCATTTTATAGGCAGTTTCTTTATACCCCCCTTATAGATTAGCTTCGTGAATGAGGCATACTAGCGATTTGACTGATCATAGTCTTATACATATATAATATTTAACTTTTAATTATAATATATATATATATATACACAAGGTGTGTTTTAAAACATTTTAAAACTCCAAGGGTTTATATAAATTTTTTCGAAATTTAAACTATTAAATTTTAAATTTAAATAAACCAATTAATTAGATTTAATATTTATCTATTAATTAACTTTTAATTAATTTATTAAATCTTGTAAGGATTATCTAATTAAATTAAACAATTAATTTAATCCTAATCCATATCCCTTCTAGATTTCAAAAATATGGGGATGAGATAATTTCCTTATTTTTCTCAACCAAATAACTAGATTTAATATTTATCTATTAATTAACTTTTAATTAATTAATTAAATCTAGTAAGGATTATCTAATTAAATTAAACAATTAACTTAATCCTAATCCATATCCCTTCTAAATTTCGAAAATATGGGGATAGGATAATTTCCTTATTTTTTCATTTATCCAATAAGGAAACTATTATCCAAAACAAAGAAACCCTAATCTTTATAGCATATTTCAAAATTTCAAGGGGATGAGGCTAGGGTTTTCAAAACCCTAACCCTAATTTCAATTAGGGCTCATGGAGGCTAGGGTTTTCGAAAACCCTGTGCACCAAAACCCTAAAATCGAAATTTTTGGCCTTTAGGGTTTAATGGGTATAAACCTTAATTTGCAATTCAACTATTATAGCAATTCAATTTAAAACAACAATGATTCTGATACCACTGATGGGTTTTAGGTAAAACAAATAAACTAGAAAAATAATTCCTAAGTTCACATGCAACCTACTTTGGATCTATGTTTTAACTATTGAACATATAACTTTGAATTGCAAAACAAGAACCCTAGAGGAGAGAGGCTATTTTCGAAAATAACAAACTAGGGTTAGGAGTTACATACCTTTCAATTGTTATTGCAAACAATTGATAATTCCCTTGATCTTGATCTTGATCTTCTTGGAAGCTTAGCACCACAAGTGTAATGCCTCTAATGGAATCACACCTAAACTAGCAAGAAAGAAATTAGAAGAGATAGGGAGGGAGTATGCAATTTCAGCCTAGGGTTTCTTCAAAAGAAGGAGTGGCAAAAATGTGAACCAGGAGGCTCCTTATATAGTTGAGGGATCTAGGGTTTAGGAAAAACCTTAATGCTCCTTGCTTAGGGCCTAAGCAAACCCAAGGGCCTTATCCAAGCCCCCTTGGACGAAATCCTTATGGTTTCCCCTATAGATTTCGTCCACCTCCTTCCAAGGAGGTTTTGGAGCCTTCCACTCGATTATTTGATAATTGCAAGCTAGTCCCTACACTTTATAATTAATACTTTTAACCCCAAAATTAATTCTGATTAATTTCTGGCTAACTATTAATTAAACATTATGATTTATAATTAATATATTAATCTTTTAACATATTAATAAATTCATTCATATTAATTTATTAATCTTATAATAAATTAATATCTCTCCTTTCATAATTTCTTTGTCCGGTTGCTAGGTTTGAGGGCAACCCAAAAGGACTGTGCTGCTATCAATTCTAGTACATACCAATTATAGTTATGAGTTTAGACACCTAGTCCAACAAAACGTAGTTGGATTTACTAACACTTGATGATACTTAAATGTGAAAGACACATCCTAACAAATATGAATAAGGACAGCTGCGGCCCATTAAACATGTAAGTCATTTTAAAGCTTGATGGCATACAAACGGGAACGTTGAAGCCCATTAAGCATACAATGATTCTCTCCGGGCAAAAATTAACATGTAAATGGGCCACAAAGGCCCATTAACATGTGAAAATTAATTTTGGCCCATTTAGCATGTCATTGGGTCACTAAGTCCCAATAGACATGAATTGATTATATTGGGTCCAATAAACATGCAAATGGATCACGAATGCCCAATAAGCATGTATTACAAGTTCCAGACCCAATATTGATACCATTGTTCTATATTTGTATATTAGATGTGGTATATTGTTTTTATATGGAGTATTTACTTATGATATTAAGATACTCAATGTTTGATCTATAACAATACTATTGGTTTAAAAAATATATACTATTTTTAAATCCTTACAAAAATTTATATTTTTGATCCAATGTTTTAATATTTCACACGTTTGACTCAATATATATATATATATATATATATATATATATATATATATGACCATTTCAACCCTTGATTTGTAAGAATTTACATTTTCAGCCTTTATTTGTAAAAAAAATTCACTTTTGGCCAAAATCCCGTGAATTTTACATTTTTGCTCCAAAAAATCAAAAAAAAATTGCATTTTTAGTCCCAATTTAGAAATAAATGTTATTTTCAACCCTAAATTTGGTTTATTTACATTTATGGCTCAAACTTTGATCAAATGACATTTTTAACCACAAAACTTCTCATTTTTCGTAAATTTGGGCCCAAATCCGTGAGGCCCAAATATTAAGCCCATTAGGCTAAAATTTACACTTTTGGCCCTTTGGAAAGCATGTTTATCCTAAAAATCCATTTTTATACAAGTATGACCTGTTTGATCCTTATAAAAACTGAAAAATGTCACTTTTTGCCTTTATCTTTGTTTTCTTGACAAATATGATCTTTAACAAGATTTTTGCTTTAAATATTCATATCTTAAACATGTAAATACTTTTATCTTGATAATATGATGTATAAGGTATCTTAGTTCATGGATTATCACTTATTGTTGCTAGGATGTCGAGATATGTTAAAACCTAAGACATTTTTACAAAATAAACCAAGAAACCACACATGTTAAGCATACAACACATAGATATACACATTTTATTGTATTATCCCCCAAAAATCACGTAAAAAATGAAAATAAGGGGTATGAACTCACCTTGGGGTTTGTTTTTTGGTTTTGAAGAAGAATGGAAGAAGGTGATGTGATCTTTGTCCCTAGCAAGCTTTCATTCGGTTGATCTTGAGTTCATAGAAGTTCTAGAAAATGGATCATGAAATAAAATGCTTATAAGGAATGATCTTATCATATGAATGGAGTTTATCCTTTTAGGAGATGTAATGACTTACAAAGTTTTGATGATCTAGATGGAAATATCTTAAGCCATAGACATAAGTCTTGGAATTTTTGGTGAAAAGGAGAGAGTGTTCTTGAGAGATTAGAGAGAGCTTGGAGAAATTTTTTGGAGGTGTGTGTGTGTGTAATTGTTCTCATCCGAGAGGAAGAAAAAGAGAGGGAGAATGAGTTTTTTCATGGAGGGCAATGGTTCTCCTTGACGCATGAGAATTTTCTTGATGTTTGATGGTTAATTGTGAGTTGTCAATCCTTCCATAATCCTCTCCTAATCTTTTTTTTGTTAAAAGATGTTGGGCCGAGAGTTTGGGCGAAGAAAATAGGAATGGGATAGTTTGAGCTCATTAAACTTTAGTTAGGATTTTTGGAACCTAATCATAAATTTTTCAGCCCATTGGGCCCTTGGAAGTACTTACAGCCCAAATGACATATAAGAATGGGTCTTATGGTCCATTAGGGTTAATTGGAATAGTTATGGCCCAACAATGCCCATTAAGGGTAAAGCAATTCCTTTTAGGCCCATTATGGCCCAAAATGTTATGTTTTATGAAAGTTGATCCAATTAGAGCCCATTTAAGGGTCCTAAGCCAAAAATAGTCAAATTGGAAGCTTATTGATCCATTAGGCCCAATAAGGAAATCCTTGTCCATAATGGACTTAAACCGAAATTATCAGGGTCTTAAATCCGTAAGTTGACTATTGAAATATTTTGTATAAGTTTTGATCTTTACTGGTGACTCCAAACTGTACTTGTTGTTATTGAATAAGCTTCATACATCTTATCATGTTAAGGATACACTTGTTACCATAGATAATGTTTACAAGAGCATAAAATTTCATCGCTAAGATTTTGCTAGTTGTGACAAAAATCCCCAAATATTATCCAATTTCCAGGCTTGGATAATTTAATTCTAATTAATTCTCTACAAACTAATTTTTCTCTGTTGGTGATTGTGGAGCATAAACTTTAGCGAAGATTGTGTTTCTTGTGACACTAACACAATCACTAATGACAATTAGAAACAACCGATATTTAATGACCTCCAATTTTTCAAAGCAATGTATCTTAGATTGATATCGGTCCTCCTGATCTACCATTTGAGTCAACTCCTTCTAAGTCATCATCAGTTGAATCCCAACATCCATTAATGTTAATGCGAGAGTGGTCCATCAATTGTGTTTCCTGAAGTCCCATGAAGTTTATTTTGTGAGTAAGTTTCAATCTACACACCCAATGAGTTTTGACATCCACCCCCAAGCCTATTGTATTTAAGGATAAGCAATTCATTGATCACAAGTTTGTACAACTGACTCACCAACAATTTGCATCATGATTCCATTATCATCATTTAAAATGGAAACCTAACTATGTTCCAATTGCCACAGTTTGTTGAATTTCGCACGAATTAGATGGTAGATTATTTTCTGTCTCTGATTGGGTAATTAAATTAACTGTTGGATTTGCATTAAGATCAATATGACGGTGTGGTTGTGTATTAGGAAAAGGAATAGGTAAACTAGGTAATGGAATAGGGTGACTAAGATGCGTTGATGAACGAGTGTTAGTTTCAATTCTCTTGCGTTTTCTAGGTTTTGATCCACCACTGTTTAATTTACTACCAGAGTCACCAATATGGGCTGCCAAGGATGAAAATTGAATAGGTATTATGTTAGGGAAAGGCATGAAGCAACCACTAGACAATAGGTTTTGAATGGGCACAAATATATTAGTGTCCGGCGATGCAGATCTCATAATTGGCTCTCCCAATGTTGAATAATTAGGTTTAGCTGCAAGGGTCTTCCCATTGTCTTTAACGTTACATACTGTGACTGCCTCTTCCGTCGATTTACCATCTGTATTCTTCGAATTGATTGCATCGGGATGGGAGTTGCTCCTATTATTTTATCTTTCATAATTTTCTTTCGTGATCGGCGACGCTTCAGTTTCTGCTTAGAGCTAACGATGTTAGTTGCCAGAGAAGAAGACTCGGCGTCATTGGTGCCTTGCTTTTTAATGGTGGTTTCCATCCTAATTTCACCTTCCTCTGGCTTGTTGACGTCATCTTGAATGTACGTGTCGGATATCCCGTCCTTGTTGTCTTCATCTTCAGTCTCCGCTTCATCTTCCGATTCCTCCACCACTTTGTTGAATGGGACTCTATTGAAAGGAGAACAGTCATCGGTGTATTCTACAACACCCACCGTGAAGCATACGCCATCCGCCATTATGTTGACTGTCTCATTTATCCATCACCTTTCGGTAGTCAATACACCTACTTTTCCCATTGAGAAATCGCATCTAGTGATGATATTCACTCTACAAATCTGAGAAATCAGATTGAAATTTTCTTCTTCCTACAATTGAATTAGTAGTCCTAGTATTTTCAACAAAGGAGTTCTTTCTCGTGTTACTGATCTGCTCTTGATAAATTTTCTTCTTCCCACAACTGAATTGGTATAAAAGTTCAATCCTAACACTACCCATATATAAGTATCTGTATTGGTATAACCTTTCTCAACCCTAACCCATATTAGATATAAACATGTCAACTCACGTGACCTGTTTTATTATACTAGTTCGCGAGTTTATGGGTCAGATTCATTTTTGTGGGTTAGAATCAGGTTCATAGGTCTGAGAAAAAATGTCTTACTATCCAACATTTACTTATTAATCATTATTCCCTCATTTATTTAATAAATATATTTTTTATTATTTTAATCTACTAAACTGTGTAACTAGAAAATTGATTAGAAATAAAATTTATATAGCTAAGGCTTAAAAACATGGAGAAATGAAAAATTCATAATATTCAATGACGCGGATTATGAATAAGGAAAATCAATAATGTTGCGTACAAAAATCATTTAATAAAACAATTAACGGGTACAATTTGTATACAACTAAAAGAATCAAAATTTAAGATCAAGATCCATATGGGTGGATTGAAATAGGGTCCTGCATTTTTAGGTCTAACTATGGGTGATCTTCTCACTAGTGAGGAAGTGAATACATGGAACAATGGGCTTAAAAAGATAATGGAGTTGGAATGATTGGCGATTTTGGACCTAAAACAGAAGGCGAGAATTAAATGGACCATCGACGGTGATGAAAACTCTAAGTTCTTTCACATTTATATTAATAATAAAAATAGGAGGAACCTTCTCCATGGACTCACGATTAATGGTCATTGGACAACAGAGGTTAATGAGATCAAAGAGGAAGCCTTTACATTTTTCGAGAAAAGATTCACGTAAGACCATGTTTCCAGACCTAAATTCATCAACCCGTTGTTCAAAACAATCTCAATGATGGATGCCATCAAAATTGAATCTCCTTTTAGTATTGAGGAGGTAAAAGCTTCGATTTGGTAATGTGGAAGCGAAAAATCCCCTGGACCTGATGGCTACACCTTTAAGTTCTTCAAAAAAATGTGTGACATAATCAAATATGATGTGATGAATTTTGTGAGGTTCTTTGAAGAGTCGGGTTCGTTATCTCGAGGGTGTAATTCTTCTTTTATTACTCTTGATCCTAAAATTAAGGAACCACTATCATTGAATGACTTCCATCCTATAAGTCTTCTAGGATGCTTGAGTAAGATCATAAGTAAGATACTATCCATTTGATTAAATTCAGTAATTGGAAAGATAATTGATGATGTCCAATCGGCATACGTGGAAGGGCGTTGTATTCTTGATGGTCCCCTTATGATCAATGAAATTTGCTCATGGGCAAGGCAGATTAGGAGAAAAATTCTACTCTTCAAGGTAGACTTTGACAAAGCATTTGATTCGTTGAATTGGGACTACTTAGATTCGGTTCTTGGATTCGGGGTTGTTTAAATTCGTCTAGGGTATCAATTATCATCAACAACTCTCTAACGAATGAATTCTATATATCTGAAGGTGTCCGGTAAGGGGATCCTCTTTCACCATATTTATTCATTATAGCCATGGAGGGGTTAAACATAGCTCTTAAATCGGCCTGTGATAAAGGGATCTTTAAAGAGGTCCAAATCCCAAGAAATGGTCCAACACTATCTCACCTATTCTATGCGGACGATGCGTTGTTCATTGGTGAGTGGTCCCGAGCTAATATGAAAAACATTGCGCGTATTATAAGGTTCTTTCATATATCATCGGGTCTCAAAGTTAATTTCCATAAATCAAGAGTTTTCGGTATTGGTGCCACCTTGCAAGAAACAACGAATTAGGCAAATTTATTAGGGTGTGATGCTGGAGTTCTTCCTTTCGACTAACTTGGTGTTCCGGTCGGTACCAACATGAATCTTATAAAAAATTAGAAGCCAATAATTAAGAAATTCCATTCTAGATTATCTCTATAGAAGGCCAAAAACCTCTCGTTTGGAGGTAGACTAACGTTAATTAAGTAAGTTCTTGGTAATCTCCCCAATTACTACTGATCATTATTCAAGGCTCCAACGGGTGTATTAGATGAGATGGAGAAAATCAAAGGAAATTATTTATGGGGTAGGGGTGATGAAAGGAAGAAGATACACTAGGTCTCATGGGATAAAGTCATGGCAACTAAAAGTGATGGGGGATTGGGAGTGGGCTCTATACAAGCCTTAAATATTTGGTTACTTGTGAAATGGTGGTGACATCTAAAAAATGAGAAACGATCTCTTTGGGATCGAGTAGTCTAGGGGATTCATAACTTGTCTAACAATCCCTTTAAATACTTATCTAGACAAAATAGCACAGGGGTATGGAACACAATTGGAGGAATTAAAAAGTATTTGTTATGTAACACCCATAAATTTCCAGCCAATTTAAAACTTTTTAAATCATTTGAAACCATTCAATTATTACAATTTGTTTTCAAAATAGTTTATACATCATAGTTCCCAGAAATCATAATCGTCAATCGAGTAAGTGTACGGTCACCTTCGCCTACCCGCGGCCATCCGCTGAACCTGAAACAATAAACTTAAACTTTAAGCCCGAAAGCTTAGTGAGTTACCCCTAAAATACCAACCTCATATAACCATAATCATAATCATACCATATCAACAAATACATAACATCATGCATAATGAGCCTTCAGCCTGATTGGACCACCTCGTAGGGCCTACAACCTATATGGACCGCTCCTGAGCCTTCTGCATTACTGGACCGCCTCGCAGGGCCTACAGCCTATCCGGACCGCTCACCCGATATGTTGGCCTACAACACAAAGCAGAACTGCCTCAACTCAACCGCCAACCAAACAAACATGTGCACATAAGTATCATACTCTAGCTCATATCATGTAATAGTCAAACTGATCTAACAAATCACTAATCATTGCAACATCCCAATAACCAGAATACAGACCTAACCGGTCACTAACATAGCATCATCCTATAACCAAGACAATCATGTGCACATAAATATCATATAACACTAGCATGCATATATATATATATATATATATATATATATATATATATATATATATATATATATATAACAGTCAAACCGATCTAACAGATCACAAAACATAGCAACAATCCTAACTAGGATACCAACCTAAACTAGGTCACTAACATAATACCGTCCTAATTTACCAGGATGCTGATCTAACAGATCAATAAGCATATCAAACAAATACAAGTATACAATCCGAGAAAGGGCCGGCCTTGGTGCCTTAGACCCTGTTGATATACTGAGGATAACCCACCTTGCAATGCCGGACTGAACCACGAAATCACACTCCTGAAACACCGCCCCAAACTCCAACACCAATAACCATCAAAGTTCCAATTCATAAATACCCGCTTACAAATTATCCCCAAAAGTCAAAACGGCTAACCCTTGGTCAAAGTCAAAGTCAACTATCAAGGTCAACAGTCCTTATTAACCTCAACTCGTCGAGTACCCTCAGCTACTCACCGAGTTTCTTGCATAACTTGCCAACTCACCGAGTCACCATGCCACTTGCCGATCCCAAGGCAATCATCATCAGACTCGCCGAGTTGTTTATCCAACTCTTCGAGTTCATGACCATCTTCATGTGACTCGCCGAGTCTACCATGCGACTCGCTGATTCCCTTCAGTCCTTCATCCATATAGATGCTTTTTAAGCCATGCTATGGCTGCATACTATAGATCCAACTTCCCAAGGCATGCTTATCACGTAAAGTTGCAAAATTTACGTGCATGTAAGGCTCTAATGACTTAAAATGCCAAAACCAAGCTTGAAATGGGGTTTTACACTTAAGGAGGGGTTCATACTTGCCCAAGCTGATAGCTTTATGGATTTAGAGACCAAAGAGAGTTCAGATCTGAAGTTACAACTTCAGATCTGAGCTCATACCCACAATAGCTTCACAATATGCTAGAAAAGCCCAAAACTTAAAACCAATGAGATCTAGAATGAAATGAGGTCAAGGTGGCGACTTGATACCTTCCAAGAGATGCCATCTGAGGTAGATATTAGATCCCCACAAGTCCTTTGCTCCTAGTCACTTGCTCTTCAAGTTCTTCTTACAAGGATACACGTTCCAAAGCTTTAAAACACACAATGGAGCACACTCACACGAATTAGGGTTTATGGAATCCCAAGAGGCTGCAAAGGGACTAAGGGAGGCTAATGATCCCTTAAATAGGGTGCCAAATCCCGGAAATTAGGGTTTCACCCTCCAGCTTCGAGTCGTTGAGTCACTCTTCCGACTTGGCGAGTTGGTCACTTAAACACGTGGCCCAAACCTGTTGCTACTCGACAATTCATGCAACCAACTCCTCGAGTAGATCTTGAATTCATGGGAATTTATGACCATAAATTGGTATTTGAGAATCGGGGCGTTACATGTTAAAGCATAGTATGGAAGTTAGCGATGTTTTCAAGGTGCTGGTTGAAACTAGAAATGAAACTCAATTCTGGTATGATTCATTGTTAGGTACAGGAAACTTAAAAGAAAAATACTTGTCCCTATTCGAATTAGAATCAAGAAAAAAATGTTTAGTTGCTGACAGAATCTCTGGACCAACTATCTTATGGAACTGGAGGTCTCGCCCCTCTACTCTTGGGTTAGAGCCTGCTGTCAAAGCATGTACCAATGATATCTCTAGCATTAGCCTAGGTCATGGTGCAGATCATTGGAGATGTAAGTTAACTGGCGATGGTACATATATTGTTAGTTCTCTTAGAAAGGTTATTGATAAACATCCTATTAACATCCCAGGATCTTCGGTACTACAATGGAGTAAGGTGGTCCTAATTA